TATGAGTTGACAACTACATCCACACGAACAACCTGCACAGGAATGTTTATAATAGCTTTATTCATAACTGCCAAAACATGAAAGAAACCAAGATATCCTTCAATAGGTGAACGGATTAACAGTGGTACATCCATACAATGGAATATTGTTCAGTGATAAAAAGAAATAGATATAGAACCATGAAAAGGCACGGAAGAACCTTAAATACATATTGCTAAGTAAAAGAAGCCAATCTAAAAAGGCAACACGCTATATGATTCCAACTATATGACATTTTGGAAAAGGCAAAAAAGATCAGCATTTAGGTAGTGGAAAGGAGGGATGAATAAGGGGAACAGAGATTTTTTAAGTAGGTGAAACCATTCTGTACCATATTGTAATGGTGGACACATGTATTTGTCAAAACTCATAACTATATAACACATTAGCGTGAACCCTAATATAAATATGCACTTTGGTTAATGTGTCAATATTAGTTCATCCACTGTAACAATGTACCACACTAAAGCAGAATGTTAACAGGAAGCAGAAACAAGTGTCAACTATAATTAAATATGTGTGTATGTGTGTGTAGTCACGGAATGTAAAGTACAGCATAGGGAATAGACTGTAGTCAATGGTATTGTATCAGCTATATACGATGTCAGAGGGTGGCAGATTTGGGGCAGTTATCACTTTGTGAGGGGTGTCAATGTCTAATCATTATGTTGTTTTGTACACCTGAAACTAATATTAAAAAAATAAGATTTAGGGCCGGCCGAGTGGCTCAGCTGGTTAAGAGCTCACTTGGGAGCACCAGCTCTGAGCAGCAGGGCTGCGGTTTGGATCCCACATTGAGGGTCAGTGACACTCGCCCTCTACAGCTAAGATGGTGAACAACAGCTTGACCTGGAGCTGGGCTGCCATGAGTCGCCGGTGACGGCGTAGGCTGCAGCAGGGCTGCAGTGGGCTGCTGTGTGAGCTACGTGAGTGGCTGGCAGCCAGCGTGAGCGTGTGAGCTACCGGGAGCCGCTGTGAGCAACCGACTGCCTCACCCGGAAAGAGCACAATGATCATACCAACATGGGCCAGTGAAGCGACATCCTCCACAACTAGACTGAAGAATAAAACAGCAATTTGTCTACCTGTCTGTTCCCCTTTCCCGATTCCCCAATGCTGTTACCCTCCCCCCAATTCCCCAATAAAATCTTAAAAAAAAAATTTAATTAATTAATTAATTAAAATTTAGAAAAAAGAAACAATAAGGGGAAACTGAGTAGAGAGGAGAAAGGAGATACATGGGAATTCTCTGTACTATCTGCTCAATTTTCTATAAACCTACAACTATTCTAAAAAAAAATGTCTATTAATTTAAAAACAAACAAAAAGAGGTGAATTCAATTATAACAATGGCGTAAGGGAGACCCTAGTACAACTTAAAATTCAAAAATCAAAAGAGAAAAGATAAATTTGACCAGATGATTTTTAAAAGAACAAAATAGGGAAATTTCAAACGTAAGTGACAAATGTGGGGAGGGATGTACACTTTGCGTCTCCTTTATATAAAGAGAGTGCCTAAAGGCGGCAGGTTGGTTAAGAGCGTGTGCTCTGATCAACAAGGATACCAGTTTGATTCCCACATGGGCTAGTGAACTGCGCCCTCCACAACTAGACTGAAAACAGCAACTGGACTTGTAGCTGAGCTGTGCCCTCTACAACTAGATTGAAAGACAACAACTTTACTTAGAGCTGATGGATCCTGGAAAAAGCACAGTTACCCAATAAAAATTAAAAAAAAAGTGCCTAGGAATTAATAAGAATAAAACGTAAAACATGATAGAAAAATGGGCAAGAGATATCAAGTAACAATTCAGTTCCATTTCTAGGAATAGTATGCAACTGCAAAAGGGTGCCAGAGAGAAACTGCTCGCTAGGCACTGGGTATTTCAAACTAATGGATTTAGCACATAAAGTAGGATGACAGATTGAAAGGCATTTTTTCCTCAAGGTAATTTGCAAGGTATAGCTATGAGATGGTACACTATTTATCCCAGTTCATCAACATTCAAAATATCATTATTGAGAAATTTTTTTTAAATGCTGTATTTCACAAGTCAGTTTTCTTATATTTTAAACAAAAATGAAGACATTGCCTCCTTGGGATTCTACTTGACGTTTATTTTTCCCCCCTCAGTTTCTTTTTCCCTTAAGTGCTAGTGTTGTTCTAGAACACTCCCTGGATGACTCATATGTTACCACCACCCAGATCTGTACTCCTTAGGGGCTCAAATTCTTACTGCTATTTGAGACTCGGGTATGATGGGCATTTGATTTGTTAAATTAGACTCATCTTCTGCAAATTTGTTCTTCCTTGCTTACTTCAGATGGTAATCACAATTGGGAATAGAGTGAGGTGGAAGAGATCAGGAATTAACTAAAATTTGTAGTTTTGCTGATTGTTACCAAAGTAACTATTACCAAGTCCAGTTAATTTCACCTCCTAAGCATTAAAAAGAAAATACCCCTTTGGCTATCTCTACTTCCCTAGATTGTGCAAAGGTCACACAATAGTTTCTGTGTGCTTGACCCCACAAATCTGTCACATCTACTAGAAAGAGCTCTCTGGTACTAATTTGATCACCATCACTTGCTGCCTACAACCCTCTGTTGAGCAATCAGGCATGGTGGTGGTCATTAAGGACAGCAAGCCAAACAAAAAGTAGCAATCCAGCCTTTATTCACTTACTGCAACAGTGCAAGCAAGAGGCAAAAAGTGAGGCACTGGCTCCAGAATATTCCATTCCCTTCCCTGCCACGGAAGAGCGCCCAGGAGAGGGTCACCTGGGCACAGCACAGATGCAAGGAATCACCTCATTCCAAAGAGCCCCAAACAAATGTAATGAGGCCTCTGAATAAAGGTTTGGGCTAGAAATGCCCAAAGCTAGGTGTTTGTCCTAAGGGACTGGGAGGGGAGAGGGTCCCGAATCAAGCCTGGAAGCTGACACAAGGATGTTGGCCTGGAGCTGGACTCCTCAACCTTGGTGGTTGCCCAAAAGCCTAAACTTCTTCACATGGTAAACAAAGATCCCTTCATCTCACCGCCCCCCCCACGTACTTCTCTGCCCTTATCTCCTATTTCACATTTCATATTCCAGTAAAAACTACCCTCTCCAAACTATTCTAACCTCCATGCCTTTGCTCACACAGCTCTCACTGTTTCCCCCACCTTCCATTTCTTCAACAAGCCAACTCCCACTTATCATTTAAGACTCATCCTCCAGGAAGCCTTCTTAGTACATATCCACCCTCATGCTAAACCTAAGTTAAGTGTTCCCTACCCTGAGGATCCTTAAGCCCATATGCATACATACTTATATTTTACTTACATAATATGTTTTGTTTATATATCTGTCTCTGCAACAAAATGTTAAATTACTAGAGATCAGAAGCCACATCCTATTCTATTTTGTATTCCCAGTGCCTAATGGGTATCTGGCATATAGCCGGAACATGGGGAATAATCTTCGTGGAATTAGTGTTCTATAAATCAACATTAGTACAGGACAAGGAACAGGATACCGCCAGAGCAGGAGTGCATGACACAAGCCCCACAGGCTAGCCAGCTCAGATAACAGGGTTCCCAGCACTGACAGTCTCTCCACATCTAAAGCCCAATTGTGTCAAAACTACCTTGTGCTGCTCCAGGATTTGTGGTCAAACTTGTTGAAGACAACCTTAGTCGCCCCTCCCCATCCCTCAAAGAATTTTATTTCTCTGTTTCTTTGCCCTCATTTCTAGGCCAAAGGCAGTCATTAGGTATCCATTGTAAAACAAATTTTATATCTATTTCTTGGACTTTTTGCTAAACTTTCTATTATCCTCACCCTCAAGGCAGCCTTCTCTGTCCCAGGAAAGGGCTTCTAAGGCTCTTTGGAATTCCTTCTTCAAAGGCCATCTTTCATTCCTTACAATCGGCTTCTTAGTCTACAGGCCTCAGGATCCTTGGTTGTCAGGGATTTCTTAAAGACCTTTCATTAATATGTTATTAGTACTGCACCATTTTAAAGCGTCCTTTTGCAAAGCGATAAACATGACTTTTTACCTATAAGTTTTGAGTTTCCTATCATTTAACTTTTACCCAATCTTTGTGGGAATCCAGTCAGAGAAGAGAAGGAAGAGGAGAGACATGCAGAAAAAAAAGATAGCTAACGTCAAAAAAGGTCTTAGTGGGTAACAGACCTACAACAATGTTAAGCTGGGAAAGTCCATGTAAACTCGCGTCCTTAACAAATCATAGTTTCTAGCTCTGTCACCAAAGAGAATCTGAGACTTTATTCAGAGGGAGACTGCAGGAATGAACCCCAGATAGGTCTGAATCCCAGGCCAAAACACTCCATGCCAGGGAACTTAAATTAGATTCACTCACTCTCTCTCAGTAAACATTCAGGTATGTGCTGGGATTACATATGTGAACTGTTTCTGCCCTTACTGAGCAGGCACAGAGCTACAGCCTCTAGAAAAAAATCAGGCTGGGCCCAGCCCAGTGGCTCAGTTGGTTAAGAGCTCACTCAAGAGTGCAAGCTCTGAGCAACAGCAGTTTGATGGCCGGCCCAAGCTGAGCTGCCAACAGGTGGCAGGATGGCCCAGCTAAAAAAAAAAAAAAAAAAAAAAAAAAAAAAAAAAAATTCAGGCTAGGTGAGAAGGGTGCTAAATACTTTAAAAATCCTAGTCGAAATAGCAAAGATGAGCTTCTTACCTAGTAAAATCCTCACTCCATACGTACGATCAAGAGCAAAAGCAATAGTATGACCATGTGGTCACATTGTGTCATCTCCTGTTTCTACACAGAGTACCTACAGGTTTCTGAATCCTTTGCCATTTGAGAAATTTTAGATCCCCTATGTGGAAAGACAGACTAGCAATTTGTATGAAATTGATGCCTACAAATGTAATGTTAAAACTCTAAAATATTTAATGGATTGTGGTTGTCTAGATAAATAATAAAAAGTGGATGTACTTACAAGAGAACATGAGCAATGATGGCATTCACATCAAACAAGGTATCAGTAGGGAATTCTCTGAGTAATATGTTGCCCCTGTAAAAAGTTCAAAAAAGTATTACAGAAATATTTCCTTGGCATCCAATTTACTTGTTTCTCTAATATACTAGGATGTAAGTTCTTTAATGTTAGAGCCTGTATCCATTATCCCATGCACCTACCTACCAGAGTGCTGGCCATAATATTCACTCAATTATTTATTGAAGATACTCAATAACTATGTTGATTTTGAAAACCTTAGGCCTGGGCCTAGCAAAAAGACTGAAGAAAACATGAGTCCAAACAGGGCTTCCTACCAACCTCCCTGTCACACACACACAGATTCCTCAAATTGGGCTGGGAAGGAGACAAGTAGGAGAGAGAAAGAAACATCCTCAGCAGTAGGTCACTGAGGAGACAGGGTCTCTCCCCACTTCCTAGGCCAAATCCTAAGGGTTTAAGGAAAGAATCTGAGAAATCTCAGATAGATTAGCAGACCAAGTGCAGAGGAATCTGTAACCTGGACATTGGCAGATCCCTCAAAAATAAAGTATGTTTATTTCACACCCGAATATGGGCCTGACAATCTACACAGAACACTGCCTTTTCTAAGTGCTTACTTACCGGGTGTTTGTAGTGGGAGTTTACATAAGATTCTCATGTGATATTCAAAACAACCCTGTGAGGCAGGTATTATTCTCCTCATTTTATAGATAAGGAAGCTAAAGTGCAGGTAACAAATCTATTACTTGGACTCTGCAAAGCTTCATATGACACCCCGCTGAATATAACTTTATCCTGCCTTAGTAATATTTTGTATACTTGAGTTTTCTAGAAATATAGCTTTATATTTGTCAATCACACTCAAAATAACAGTTTACCTGAATAAATATGCTTTCATCAAATCCTTTTCTTTTCCACAGTATCTTGATGCTTCTTCTTTGACACAATTAACCTTTAAAAGATAGGGGGTCAAATATATGATGATGGGAGGAGAACTGACTCTGAGTAGTGAACACACAATCAATAATATAGATGATATATTATGGAAATGTACACTTGAAACCTATATAATTTTACTAACCAATGTCACCCCCATAAATTTAATAAAGAAAGAAATAATACGGAAAACAAGAAAGGAGAAAAAAAGATACTTAAAGTTTAAAGTCTATATCAAAAGGTAATGTTTCTTGTTTAGGGGAACAAGAAGGAATATTAAAACATTACAGTTTGTCTGCAGATCAAATTTTTAATTTTCCTTTTCTTTCTGATTTGTATCCTATAATTGCTCATTTATTCAAGTGCTTGAGGTAATCCAGATAAAGGAACTTTTTCTACACCTAAGATTTACATTTAATTATACCTGAGAATTTACATTTAATTCTATCTTATGGAGCAAGTAGGAGGTAACCAGGTAGAAAAGGAAGGAAACAAAGCAGAACGAAACTCCTGAGTGAAATCCGGGAAGCACGGCAGCAGGTGGTAAGCTGGGACCATGAAAGCATCTCAGCAGCCTGAACACAGGTATGGCTGACAGTGCTGGTTTGTTACCCAGAATCCATAGTCTCCTTTTGTTTTTCTAACATAACTTCACTAAAAGCAAGAGCCTGATGGGAAGACTTTTCCAGACTCCCAACAGTTAAGTGGTCTTGGGATGAGTCACTTAGTTGGGATTCCTGGGAGACTCTTAAAAGGGGTTCGCGGTTACTCTTGCTCTTCTGATTTCTTCCTGACAAAACCCAGGCAAGATAGCTAAAAACCAGCAGTAATCAGGGACCATGAGGAATCTTTCAAGAAGAAACCCTTGCTAAGGATGGTGCAACAGAAAGAACGAATCTGAGTTCCTGATGATGTTAGAGCACCCATAACAGTCCCGAATGCTTACAATCAGGACTCTGTGTGAAAAATATAAGGACAATCCTGGCAGCAACATGAAGATAAAATGGAAGGCCTGAGAGCACAAAGATAAAGAAGCAGGTTAAAAGAATATCACATCACTTCTTAAATTACATAAATTCTAACCACTAGGCTGTACACCTGAAATTAATATAAAATTATACTGAATATCAACTGTAATTGATAAATTTCAAAAGGCGAGGAGGAGAATAAGAGGTCCAAATTTCCAGGTATAAAACAAATAAGGAGATGTAATGTACACCATGGGGAATATAGTCAATCATATTGTGATAGCATAGTACAGTGTCAGATGGTTGCTGGACTTATCATAGTGATCACCTCTTTAGGTATATAAATGTTGACTAACTATTGTGTATACCTGAAACTAATATAATATTGTATGTTAGCTATATTTTTAATAAAAATATTTTTAATAGAAAATATTAAATGGAAAATTCTAGGGAAAAAAAGAATATCACATCAGTATAGGTAAAGGATGACTGGAACCTGAAGTAAAGCAGAATAAGGCAGAAGAGATTCAAGAGGCAAATACAGTAAGTAAAACTCAGGAGAAAGTCAAGCATATATGTGCAGCATGGGATAAAGTGGAGGAAGGAAGAAGCTAACGAGAATGAAGAGGTTACTAGATGAGCAAATGGGTAGTCACCAACATAACTTACCAAATCTAATGCTAGAAGAACAGTTACTTTGTTTTGGATTTTTTTTTTAAGATGGGTTTTGTTGTTGTTCAATTTAATTTTAATCAAGTTTGAGGAATCAGAATCACAATTAGGGAAGCTACACTTGTTCCAAAAAAGCTACAAAAGGAGAACTGATACTCAGAAAAGATATTAGGAATAGAGAATTAGAATTAAAAATCAGAGTATAGCCATAGCCAAAAAGAGTAAATTTTTGTAATTTTATGACATTTTCAAAAGAATGTTGAAAAGCCAGAGCACAGAGGGGATGGCTGGCATTATGGCAATAGATTTGTCCTTCTATCCATTCAACATATATTTGAGCACCTACCACATGTTAGTCACTGTTCTAGTCACTGGAGGCACAGTTAAGTCCAAATAAAAACTTTATCTTTAGAACTTACTTTCTAAAAGTAGAGACAGCAATTTAAAAAATTAAATAAGTGCTATAAAGAAAAAAAAATATGTAGGGGACAGTGTGTGACAGGACATTTTAGATAGGAATCAAGGAAGCCTTCTCGGAGGAGGTGACATTTGCTCAAAGAACTGAATGGAGTGATGCTTACAAATATAAATATGTGAAGAGATGAGTTCTAAGCAGAGTGGGAAGATACCCACAAAGGCCTTATGGAAATCACACATATGGCAGGTTCAAGTAACAGAAAGATGACCGGTGTGTGTCAGGAACGAACTGAGCAAGGTGGAGGGGCAGAAAATGAGATTAGCGAGGAAACAGTGTCCCGGAGAGTGAGGAGTTTCGATTTTATCATAACTATAATGGGAAGCCTTTCTGAGAGGGGAGTAATCTAACCTGACACATCTGACTTACAAGCGGAAAAGAGTTTCGTGAGACAAAAGTGAAAGGAAAAACACCAATTATTAGGAGGGTATTGTGATTTTCCAGATGAGAAATGATGATGGTTTGGACAAGGGGTGGGGGATAAAAGAAGGTACAGAAAGTGGTCAAACTTGGAAAGTTTTCATAGTAGAACCTAAAGGACTTATTGATGGACTGGTTATGATAAAACGAAAAGTCAAGGATGATTCAAAGGCTTTTTGTTTTAAAACCTACATTGATATATAGTAATATAGCTATACCAGCTTTCTTTAGGTTATCACTTAAATGATATGTCTTTTTCCTTCATTTATTTTGAAGATTTCTGAACCCGTTAGTTTAAGATGCATTTCTAAATGGCATACTACTGGGTTTGGTTATTACACCCAGCTTGACAATCTTTGTCTTAACTGGAACATTTAGTCCATTTATATTTTAGTGTTTTCTTCATCTAGCTCTGCCTCTTGAAATCTTAACTTTTGAAGACAACCTCAAATGCTATTTTTTGTGAATCTTTCCCAATACCATATGTGACCTTCCACCCCAACAATCAGATATGAGCTTTCTTTTCTTTTAACCTCTACAGCATTTTATTTGTATCGCTCATATTACAATGATCAGGGTTTGCTAGTTATTACAATGATTTGTGAACATGTTTTATCCTCCCTATTTAGGATATAAACTCTCCAAAAAAATAGACTGAGTCTTAATCATCTTTCTTTCTAATAGAAGGCTAAATATAGTAAACTGATTTTAGTCTCATAAACATTTACTGAGGATCTATTATGTGCCAGGGACTGAGCAAAGCACTCAATCCAGGTCTGTCTTTTTCACCAATCCCCTTTCCACATAGCTTAGCATCTTCAACTGTGAAATCGAGTTTAAATTATGTTAGTTCATAAAGGCATCCCTGGGTATGGACCTTAATAGTCTACTCCAGTTACTAGACACACAGTTACTAGTTCTTAGTAACTAGTTTACTAGTTACTAGACAAACAGCACAATTATCCCTTTTGAGTGTCAACCAGCTTAGTATTTCATTTTTAAATTTCAGTTTGAAACTTTATTCAAAGTTCCTCAGAGAGCCATTATCATTCCAGGGTGTAATCAGTTGTTCAAAGTTAACTGAGACCTCTATACAAGCAGAATTAAATAAAAAGATTTTTTTAAAGGTATATAGCTGTGACATAATAATACATAGAGGGTGCTAAAAAATATATACACAGTTTAAGAAAGGAAAAAAACTGTATGAAAATTACACTAATGGTAACCACTTTGAGCACTTCTTGTGATTGCAGAATTCAAACGTGACTTGTATTCATCTTTTGTTGTCGGTATTATTACAATTTTAATAAAGTTTTTTCCTTTCTTGAAATGTGTATACATTTTTTGGCACCCTGTATATTTGGTCTCTGCCCCTGGTTCCTGACAGAGTTCAGAAAACCCTTGTAATTTCCTGAGTGATAGGAATACTAGGAGTTCTTTTGTTGTACTATTTAGTCTTTAATTCCAGTTCCAGACAGAAGAGCTTCTAAACCCTTGGAGTGCCTTTTTCTATGCTAATGAAAGACTTGTGGCTGGGGGGCACTAAATAGCTTCAGGATAGGGGCTGGTCCAAAGAAAGACAAAAGCATGATTATGAGGGTTACAACTTTCAGCCCCACCTCCTGATCTCCAGGGTGGAGACTGTTAATCACCAAGGACCTGTGCTTTAATCAGTCATGCCTACATAATGGGACCGCCATAAAAACCCTGAACAACAGTGTGGAGAGCTTCTGGGTTGACACACCCAGGATGACACACCCCAAACAACCCCAGGACAGAAGTTCCTGTGCTCAAGACTCTTCCCAACCTTGCCCTATGCATCTCTTCCCATTTGGCAGTTCCTGAGATAGCCTTTGTAATAAACCAGTAAAAGTAAAGTATTTCCCTGAGTTCTGTGAGTCCTTATACCAAGTTATCAAATCTCAGGAAGAGGTGGTGAGAACCCCTAATTTGTAGCTAAATCCTACAGAAGTTGTAGGTAACCTGGGGATATACTTTTTGGCATCTGAAGAGATGGGCAAGTCTTATAAGACTGACAGCCCTTAATGTGCAGTCTGTGCTAACTCTGGGTAGTTAGTGTCGGAATTGCTTGTTGTGGAAAATTCACACATTTGGTGTTAGAAGTGTTCTGTGACACCTGAAACTAATTTAAAAAATTAATTAATTAAAATAAAAAAAATTTTTTAAAGGGGTTCCTTGGGTAGATGTAACAGAATCCCTTTAAAAGCCAAAGTTAGTTAACTTTCTATGCTTCCCGCCCTGGGAAGCATAAGACCAAGAGGAACAGTAGTCATCTCTTGGAGGAGGAAGGCTAATGAACTAAGAATAAATGTACACAGTGTGGAAGAAAAAGGGGATCTACAAAAAGTAAACTCACAGCATGACCTGATCATAAATTCCAAGTCACAGTGAATATTCTAGCCCCAAGCATATAAAGGGTTTACCTTTGCTTAAGCAAGACCTGTCCACTGTTTCTGTACATCTAGGTTAACACACCTTTGAAATGCCTCTTTGCAGCCGCCTTCTTATCTGTGAGCACCCTTTCAGACCCCTCAAAAGAGCACATAATCTTAACTATCCTGTAATCTGATCCCCGCCTTCCTTTCTTCCACCATCCTGTAATCTTCCTTAGGTTCCCTCCTTAATTTCAAATGCATAAGAGAAAATGAAAAACTATTATTCTCTGGAGCATTTGAGATCTTGCTCGCAGGCATATGTCGTCAGGCTAAAATAAACTCATAAAAATTCTCTACAAGTTTGGGCATTTCTTATGTCAATAAGAGAAAGTCAGGTAGACACTAATCTCAAAGAATTTAATAATCCCTGGGTTACTACTCATTCAGCTTTCTAGAGTACAAATTCTAAATTGAAGCTAAATGAAAGGCTCATGTGGCTATCTAATCCATGATGCTTTTAAAAATTTTCCATAATACTTCATGGCAAGTATGAATATTTTCTGAGAAAAAAATTAAATATGTAATTTCAAGTTAGGTTGTTTTAGCTTTATACTAAAAACAGATGAGAAAAATTGCAACATAAGCGATTATAAAGACTTAGAATAGGAAAGAAAAAAACGTTTCAATTACCTCAATTTTGGTATCTCTATTTGTGCTAATAGAAAATTAACAAATAATTGAATTTTGGATATCTAGTATAATATATTTGTCAGGCAAAACAAAACAAATGCCCAACCATAGGATTGAACAATGACACCACAGCCCCAATAGAATAGTTTACAAAATAACATTAAATTCTAAGCTAAAGAATTTTAAACAGCTTTTTTTCTCTATATGTGCTAATTTATACAATAATCTGGAACTGTCTTTCTGTGCTTCTGTTTATTCTTATGCAAAAAAAAAAAAAAAAAGCTAGAAAAAAATATTTTTCCAGTTTGGAAAAAGATGTGAAACAACATAAGCATTTTTAGATACTCAGTCTTAAGTCACACAAATGCAAAGTGTTTGTCACTAATAATTTATTAACATAAATATCTTTCTACCTTTGCAACTGAAATTCCATAGTCCTGGAGAGGTTTAACAGCCTTATTCAGTTCTTCAAGAAATATAGAGGTACTTGGAGAATCTAAAATAAGAAATGTTTTATGAATGTTTAATGACTTGCCCCTTAGGAAAAATGAATTTTTAAAATTAAATCCAAAGCTGCAAACTGAAAAAGAAATATATTAGTTTGCCCAACCGCAATGCAACAACAAATAATTAGTAATTACACATACCTAGCTCTATATTTTATACTATTTCCAAAGCCTCATTATTCTTATTTCTAATGTCTTTCTAATGACATATTTTAACCTTGTAAGTGACCTTAAAACCTTTCTAAAACAGTAAATAAACGTTTAATTTAAACCTAATATTTGGCATTATTTTTCCAAGTTTAATACCATATATGAAACACACAGGTGCACATGCACAAAACTTTCAAAATGACTTTAAAATACCATTTTCAAATCACAATTTTATAAATAAGAGTCAACAGAAATGTGGATTTACTTCACTTACTAATTCCAAGAATAGTATTTTTTAATGCATGAAGACTTAAATGAGGCCATTACAATTATTAATGTTCAATATATTAGTTAATTCAGTTTAATTAACGGTACAGCTAAAGCAAAGTTAAACTAAAGCATTACTAACACCACATTTAAAGTTTAAAAATATTTTTTAAGTATTTACATGCTAATAATATCAAAAGTATACTTTCAGAAATGACTAAAACTCGGATGTTATCATATTAATAGCTCATTTTTACCTAGTCTTTATCTACTATGGACTAGTTACATGAATAAAGTCACTTAATCCTCACAACAAATTTATAAAGCAAGTATTATTTCCTTATTATGGATGACAAATAGACACACAGAGAAGCTAAGTGACTTGACCAAGGTCACACAGCAGTCAAGTGGCAGAGTCAGTATTCAAACCCAGGCAGATATATTATAGCAGCTTTGTAGCACATATTAATCCTAACAATAAGTTCTCACTGAGTATATTAAGTAGCAATAGAAACATCACAAAAATCAAAATATGAAAAATACTTACCAGCTTGACAAAAATAAGCTAAGGAGGCTTTTCCTGATTGCAAGGTACTGAAATATTTCTGAGGACTCAGTTCTGGTAGAGAGTCCACTGCTGACTTATAAAAAATGCACACCACGACAAAAGAGATGCCAACTCTAAATACATTGAAACTGGAAGACATCATGAGCTATAGTTGTATATGGACAGGGTATTCTGTTTTATTCAGTTCTGTATTCTGTTGTCTTGGACAATACCTGGCCAAGAGTACGTAGGTGTTCAACAAAATTTTACTGAATAAATTTGTTGAATAAATGAAGTAAAATCTGCAAAAAAAAATAATACTAATATAAGGCATTATTTATATATATAATTTGGCTAGTACTTACTATTTCCTCCTAGTAAAAATTTGAAAGGGTATGATATATAATGACATTGATTTGATACTATTGTTTTGATACTTACAAAAGGTATCAAAGATATGGAACATGCAACACAAAGTATCTTAGTTTAATAGCTAGTTACTGGAGTATGTTAAGCTAATTGTCACTCTTAAGGGTTCTAAATTTAATTCTCAAATATCCAATCCATTTTTTAAATTGGACATTTTATCCTTCTCTACTGAGAGTGGAATTACAATTAATACACAAATAGCTATGTAATACCATTAACATGGCATTGAGATATCCAAAATATATGTCTATTATGTTTACATTCTTTTTACTTCAAATCCTCTAGGAGATAGCTATTAAAACTACTTAAGAACATTCCTTCTTAATACACATTTTTTAATGCTCAAGGCTTAGATTTATTTATACAACATAGAAATTCAAACATCCTTTCAACTCATATTTTAATTCAGTTCTACTTTCTGAACTCAGAATTTGTTCTAGATATCCTCCTCTCATCTTTTCATGCTGTACTTACTTCCATGCTGTTCTCTGTATCTGCTGTCAATTCTCTTCTGTTTTGCTCCTTTCAAATTTCTCTTAAAGAATTTCTTCTTTCAGAAAGCTTTTCTACTGATAATCTATATTATCTAAGTTTAGAAGAAAATAGTTTAGGAAACTTCGTACAGTATGAAAACTTCGTACTTCTAGAAGATAAAGATACAACCAGGTGAGAATTTCGTTTTAATTTTTAATTTCAAATAGAACCCATATTTTTCAAACAAAAGATCATTATCTTAAAATAGGAGACAGGAAAAAAAAGTAGAAAATTACTCATGAGGATGGGGTAGAATTTTTCAGTAAAGAATAAAATGATAAAAGAATGAAACATTTAGGGAAAAATTATACTAAATTGGATATTTACTCTGGTCTTTCAATATTATCAATAAGCACATCACATCTCTTCCTAAGGAGCAGGTATACCTTAAAAAGTAGCTAATTACTCATGATGACTTCCTAATGTTCTTTTCATTAGAGCTCATTTATATCAAACAGTGAACAAATTTGCCATCAATTTTTAATAATGAGCCAAGAGTTCAAAAACTCAAGTAGAATAAGGAGTGAGGACTATGAGAGGTATATAAAAAAGTAATTTTAATGATATAATTAAAGGGTATCCTTGACATTAAAATTGATTATACGTTATAGCCATTTTAAACTGGCATATTTTAAAGCCACTTTATATTATCAGCAATGTTTTAAAATAGGTCATCCAAGATTTTTATGTACCGGAGGGGTGGGGGCGGAAAATGCATGCATCCTGAGTCTAAGAGAATAACTATATAAAATGTGTTACTAATGAAATAACTACAACCTAATTAAAAGGTAAAATATGCAAGTAAAAGCACAATTGAAACATTCAAGAATAAAATATCACTCTTCTTTGTGGTTACAATTCAATTGTCTTAACACTAAATTGGCCATTAGAGTTACCATGATTCTTTTCCCCCAGAATGTATTTTGTTGCACCAAAAAGGTCTCACCTAAATAACACATTTAATGCTTGGACACTTTCTGACATCCATCTCACTGGACAGATGAGATTCTACATGTGAAAGGCTGAACATTTGGTCAATTAGAGATGTTGGTGATTATTCTTACATATTTTTAGAGACAAGAACTCAGTAGTAACCTTGCAGTTTGTTCCATCTTTAATAAGTTTGATTATCTAAGAAATGACTCAAAGCAGAGAATACTACACAGGTCAGCTAGAAATAGAGTTTACATGGTCATAATAAAATAAACACGGAAAAATGATGCAACCAAATCCATGACAACCACAGTTGAGAAGATGGGGAGACGGAAAGTAAGGGAGCATGTGGTCAGGGTGGGAAACGGGATAAACAGGAGCTAAATATTCACCTTTCACAAGACCAAAAGTGAAGTTTATTGAAAACAGAAAGAGCAATGCCAAAAGAAACAGGAAGCAGTTGAAAATAACTGCCCTTAAGAAATAAGAAATTGGAGTGGGGAAGACACCAAGGGGACTTTTGAAGCCTTATAGAACCATCTGACTCTTTAAATAGTGTTACCTTTCCACTTTGATTTAAAAAGTTATTACCTGTATATACTCAAACTTCTATAGCTTCTACTCATATTAATCCAATCTACCCCTGCCAGGCCACAAAAGAGTGTTTGTTTCACATGCATGGTAAATAAAATGCATTTGCCTAGAGACATGGTCTCCTCATAAAAAGGTCTTTAAAGAGAAGGGAAGTGCGGATGGGAAGTGGTGGGGAAAAGAGAACACCCAATGAGAACAGAGTAAAAACAAAAACACAAAAGGTACTTGGTGACTTTTTTTCTCCAGTTACTAGAAAATGGAATAGAAAACAGTACTTAAATCTTCAAAATCTGAAAATCAGAACAAAGTGATGAGTGCCTTGGGAGAAATGTGACCTTGTTACCTTGGTGTAGTAGTTCATTAGCATGAGGTAAATAGTTGTAGTTTTCCTGTCAGGTATAAGGTAGGATTACACTTACTTCCTGCACTTCCACCTCTAGTGAAGTTTGAGGCCACCATGTTACTTATTCTGGCTAACAAAATGTGAGCAAAAGTGGTATGTCTCAGGCAACAGTTTTAACAGCTACTGTGTGATATACCAGGCTTTATTTTCTTCTGTCATAGTCATTAAAAATGCTTAAATGGTGGCTATTCGTCAGCATGGGCCCAGAAAAAGCACAACAAAGAGAACCCCCAGCTGATATGCAGTGAGCATGTGACACAGGAAGAAATAAACTTTATTGTCTTAAGCCACTAAGATTTGAAGAGCTATTATTGCAGAATAATCTAGTTTACCTTCATTCACTGGTATTCAAACTAGAAGTGAGATGCTGCCTTAATAAGAACCCCACAATACTGGCTCAGGTCAAGCAGCAAGGAAATTGTTCTGGACCTAATGAAGGAATTTTTTTTTCCTAAGGAAACTTATCAGAGACAAAAGCTCAGCAAATGATCCATGCCAAAAAGTAACAAAACATTTGATGAAACTATCACTACAATAATTTGGAGTTAACATGTACCTAACGAATTTTTGAGCATGTACCTAGGTTTGCGTAGCTAATGGTCTTATTTACAGCCCTGAGAGAAGAGGCTAGAAGATAGAGGATGAGTACTGTGTGATAGTGGCTGTTGGTTGCGTTTAATGAAGTATGCAGGGAAAGGTACTCAAAGAACCACCCACCATCCAAGAGACTAGCTATTCAAAACATAAAACAATCCTTTGGTCCCCACCCTTGTATGGTCAGGAAGCAAGCTGAAAAACCTGCTCAGCCATGGAAAGAGTTCATATTCTCCAAAGTCAACTTCAGATGTGACCAAAGATAATAAAAATGAAAGGATCTCTGGACGGGCAAAGCCAAGGACCATGGAGGACTATGCTCCAGAATATGTGCCAGAATGCGAACTGTTAACTGGTCTACAATAATGAGGTAAACACAGAAATTGGGTGTAAATGTTTAAAAACTTTCATAGCCATTTCACACATTTGCAAATAAAATGCAAAGGACAACAAAAGTTTGTTTTATCAACACCAAAATACTGAGAGAGCCCCCAGGGGTCAATGAGGAGGAAATGCTTCAAGAGAAAAACACTGCTCTTCCTGCTAATGAGGGAAGCAGGCAAGGATTTGCCTCACGTGTTCTGTAGACAGGTGGAACAGCTAGTGTCCCTCTTCAGCTAGAGCAATCCCATTTTGGGATTGGATCCTGTATATAATAATACCTGGCAAACAGTTCCACCTTAATATTTGAAAGACCATTGGGCTAAAGTAATCTGTCCTCCTGGAGCAATACTCAATCATTGTGCATTTGGACACATTTCAAATTTTAGAGTAAGCTTTTCTAGAAGATCCTTGTTTCATTTCCCTGTTACAGGTCTAAATTTCCCTTATGATTAACCATTAAATAATGGGTTTCCCTCTCAAGAAAAAGAGGAAATTAACAACTGTAAACATGTAACAAATTATACCATGATCTGTGGGCATCATTTTCTGGGAAAAGACACGTTTCGTATTTTGCAACAAATGGGGCATAAAATGCTTACAAAGTTCCTGTAAGAATACTCTGTCAAAAATTAGCTTACTTACAGTTTAATGCTGTTAATGGAGAATAGAATCTGCTCAGTGAACCAGCCTCAAATAAAGCGTTGATTAGATCTCATCACGGTTTATCATTTAAGACCCAAAAGAGGCAATAAAAGGAGTCAACATTTCTCCAATTTACAGCCCCTTCAAAGCAGTAGGGAAAAAATCCTTTCTCTCCAGCCCCTATCCATACCCTCCCACCCCAAAAAAGGAGAAAAGTGGCAGGTGTCCAGACTTGCAATGATAATGGAATAAAAAGTCTCACAAGCAAAGACCTAAAACTAGTATGGTACCATCCAGATGCAAGCTATTAGTGAGTAGAGCACATAGGAGAAAAAGAAAAAACCCTTCATGATGAAAATCTATTCATGACCTGAAACTTGCACCTCATTGATTATGGAAGATACAAAAATAGATCATGCCAGAGAACAGGAGGTTCCCCTGATTTGGACAAGTGCCTCAAATCGCTTAACTCTGAATTCATGCTTAATTTATGTGCTTGAGCGCATAACTGCTTGCAGTTAACTAGCTGTTTCCATGAGCACTCTCTCTCTCCCCTCTCAAATAGAAGTGTCCTGCCCTAACCACATGCTCTAAGAAGCCATTAGGTGAATTTCTTACCCTCCAATAAACATGAGATCCTTCTCTAAAATGTTGTTGGAGTAGGCCTATTAACTTCTTAAAGCAAATTGTATCCTACCCTCGGCTGAACTACACAACCTGCTCAGCTGAATGTTATGTACGAGTGATCCACGTAACAGTGCTAGACCTAAACATCTATCACAGTTGGTCAGCACATCTATAATGAATCCAAAACACACCAGCATCTCGTGCCTGGGTGAACTACTGTCCCAGAACCTGAAGTACAAAATAAACTTAAAAGTTTCCTGTGGATCACTAGCTAGGAAAGAAGGTAGCAGCACTCTGCTTGGGCGAAGCACCAGGGTGATGGATAGTGAGTTAGGAAAGGTTGGTTCTTGGCTGCAACAGTCACTGTAGCAGTGTCTTTCAGAGAATTTGTGATATGCTGCTCATTCTAAGAACACGAATCACTTTCTCTTCATTTTGCACTATTCTGCTCATTTTGTTACCAAACCCCAAAAACAAAAGTCAACAAATGTTATGTGTCAGTCCAATACACGTTGGAGATTTATTTATTCCTCACTTATTTACAGGAGTATCATAACAGCATTTGTTTTGTATGTCTGAGCCCCAAGAGCGGCGCCATCATACAGGACACAAAGGCTTTGAAGGAATACATGTGGAATTTAAGGAGCACAGACTGTTCTACTTCTTCCTCTCTGGACTTTCATCAGACTGACAGTTCCATTTCTGCCTTTTTCCTGAACTTATGCCCACAGCATCTTTCCAAATTCTAAGTTCCAAAGACCCACGTTCCTGCTATTCCCAGATCGCTTGGACATCCATCTCATCCTAATGCCACTCTTCTTTAAGGGACAGTTCCCAAGGGAGGGAAGAGTCTTACTTAGTGCTTCGGATCACCTTTCGACTCATTCCACCCTTTCTCCCCTCAGAGGGCTCACTTTTTCCCCCCCGCCGCTCAAGCCAAGAGAGAAGAGAGCAAAATGTCCCCTCAGAAGAATACAGGTGAGGCCCCTTCTAAGCCAAACTCCAGACCTCGGCGGTACGGCCATTGCTAGGGGAGAGTCGCCTGATTTGAATCCCCATCGCTGCAGCCAGAGACCTTAGTTAGCCCCTGATGGAACCCGGGCCGCCACCTACCTACCTGCGCGCGGCCCACAGCTCCCGCCACGTGAAGGAGAAGCAGAGGGCGGGGCCTAGCCCCGCTAGTCCCAAGAGAAAGCGCAGCGCCTACCGCGGCCAACACTCAGTGGATTCGGCCTGCAGGGCAAAAAATAAATAAATAAAAATAATAATCCCCGAGGCTCCGCCCTCTCCTCGTGCTCTTTACGTGCAACCTCTCCAACCAATGGGACGCGCCGGGGACGGATGGAGACCCGCCCCAGGTGACAGGCGACAACCGAGTCCTCCCGCCGGTGCGAACGGGTCTTGCAGTTGCTGGGCCAATCGGCAACGTGGGTGGGGAGTGCAGGGAAGCGAGAAAGCGGGGAAAGCGGGTGCCCAATTAGAGCTTGGAGTCCTGGAGCGACGGGCCCTGCAACCCGTGGGCTTCCGAGCGCGGCGTGCAGGGGGCGTGCCCGCCTGGGCCAATCGGCGCGAGCCCACGGTGCGGAGCGAGCGCCTCAAATGCTCGGGTTTCTCAGCTGATTGTCTCCAGCCGAGAGTTGTTTTTTGCAGCTACAGAGCGGAGCCGCAGCAGGAGGAGCCGAGACCCCCGGGGGTGTAGGGGGGGG